TCCTGACATGTGGTGTTCTGTGTAAAGGTACATGTGGTGGCTGATTTTACAAAAGTTTGAGGAATTATATTTGCCAAGTTTTATAGAGAAAATGGTTTGTCATAGTTGGAGCCCAGTGGTCCTGGATAATATTTCTTCAATTTACCTTTTCTTATGCACTCTGTAACACAGGCTGATGTGTACTAATGTGGCAGTTCAGGAATTCCACAGATTCAGCACATAAAACCATTTAATTAAAGAATATAAAACCGTTTTAGCTGTATCAGTGCTCATTTTGCTACTTTTCAAAATATTTTGTCCTACTTTTATATAGGAAAGCATACTACTCCCTGTGCTGATACTGCAACCCCTTGAGTTTACATGTTTTTTTCTTCTCTTAAAGAACAAATAAAACCTTTGCAAAATAATGCTAACCTTTGCTCTGCTAGTGCCCTTGAGAAATTCCTTTGCAGTCATAATTCTGTATTTGAATTTGGGTATAAGGTTTAGTGATTTGAGTACTACAACTTCTGCATAAATATTACGGTGTAAAAGTTATGTCCCTCATGTTATTGTGTCTATTAATGCTTCTTCAAAGTGTTAAAGCCTGAAAACTTGTGGTGGACTAAACTGTAAAACAAAAGATCTTTGAATGAATGGGAAACTGTACGTCGAGTCTTAAATAAGCCCTGTTTAAAACTGTGTTTTAACTTTTTCTACAGAGCACACCTGCAACGTCGATACCAACAGTGCAAGTACAGGGCCAGCAGATCAATTTGCAGCCACCTTCGTACACTGCAGCAAGTCAGCATGCAGAGCAAATGAAAAAACCTGGACAGAACTTCATGTGTCTGTGGCAATCTTGTAAAAAGTAAATGGCTCCTTTATTTAACTACCTTTTACTAATACGTAACAGATGCTTGTATATAGAAGGAGATTCTACAAGTTCTATCCGTTCTGTTTCCTTAAGTTACCTTATACTTTGTCAGTGGGGAAAAGAAAAACTGGCAAGTGTTAAAGAAGCTGAAGCTGAGATGGGGAAGTGCAAGACATTTAACTGCTCTCAGTTATACTTCTGAGCATAAAATGGGTATTGTGTAGCTTTCTTTTAATATATTGATTCTTCAGTAATAAATAAAATCTTGTAATGTAGTTAAGTTTAAAAAGTTGCTAGCTCTGAAGCTTGTTCTCTGTACTGCAAAACCAAAAATAGTCACTATACTCCAGTTACAAATCATGTCTTGACATTTTCTTATGTTTCCAGCTTTTAATCTTTCTTGTGTTTCCAGTTTTGCAAGAGCAGGGTGTTGCACTTCTATGTCCTGGTTAGTCTTATTTAGACTATGACTAATTATAGTAATTATGATACCATTTGTGTGCCACAGGACTCCATTGTCATGAAGGGAAATAAAAAGGAATTTAGCCTTAAGACTGGACAGCAATGAATAGACTTTTTTAAATTTTTTGTTGTTCTCCTTAAAAGAGAGAGGAGTGAGCTAGCAGACTTTTGGATGTAGTCTTATAAAAACATGATACTACCCTTGTTATCAATATGTATATCTTGACGTTGATCTTTAAAAAAACATAGGTTTGTGAATATGCTTATTTTTCAGTGAAGGGTACAGGTTGGTGAAACAAAGGCAGTTGTCAAATAGCCACTTTGGAAACAGTGAGAGATTGGATAACATATAGGATGGGCACGAAAAAGAGTGAGACACTTTGTTGTTAGAGAATTAGACAAAGAGAGAATAAAGACAAGCTCATTTGGCAGGAAGCTGGCAGAAGTGTGTAGACATACAGAAAATTGGCATGAAACAGTGGAGAAGTTCGGATCTTTGGAACTGGTGGTGACAGTGAGGCATTTGAACAGAATTAGAGGAATTCTGAAGGACAGTTAATCTGTAGACCTCTGAAGCTGTAATTTCTGTTTCTTTCATTCCTTAAAAACATAATTCAAAGATTATTAAGTCAATTCAAGACATATGGATTTTGGATGGGACTCTGCCTGGTACTGTACAGATCTGGTGCTTTTTAAATAATTGTCCTGTTTTCACCATAAAAATGATTTTTGTTTATTTGATAGGTGACACTTCTTTATGTAAGAAATACATGTTGGCTCTACATGTATTTCTCCTTTACTACTAATAAACACAACCACAGAGCCGTACTATACTGGCTGATGTGTAAACACCTGTGTTAGTACAAGAGTGGATTGTACTTAAGTGGAAATTAAAAGCTGGGACTTCTTAGTGGAAGCCTTGCCAGTTTATTCCACCTTGAAGAGTTTTGCTGAACTACAGTTTTGAAGCATATGTTAGTCACCAACTTTCTTCTATGTCTAAAGTTATGTAGGATGAGTTGTGTAGAGTTGAGGTGACATCTCACCATGGAACAAACTGATGTCACATGTGAATTTAGGACATGAATATGTGCAGACAAATTGTGGGTCAGGAGGAGGAGCAATACAATTACCTTACATGATCTGTCTTTTTGTAAGCCTGTCTTAAAATATTATCCAGTAAGTTTTCCTGAGACTAAAGTTAAGGGCTCCCATATTTTACAAGTTGATCTCTACGTTTTATTTCAAAGATAGTGTATTATTTCTGTTGCTTTAGTTTATCTTGTTATTACTTGCTGTACTGTTTTTGTTAATGGTTAAGTTTCATTATTTTCAAGAGCCTTCAGAGATTTTTGCATTGATAGATTGTATTCCATGTGACACACAGCTCTTGTTCTTATACTGTTTCTCATTTGAAAAATATTTATTTCAGTCCCAGCCTAAAACCAGTTTGGATAAACATTATACTCGGCGTTCTCTGTGATGAAGAGAGAACCAAAATGTCAAGTTAGCCTCTTCCTCAAGTGTACATTGTTTATTCATATTCCTTCAACAACCTGATTAGAAACAGGAGTAACAAATCTCCTGTAGGCTTTCTGCTTCTAACAGATATAAAGAAAAAGCTGGAATTGCTAGCTGTTATTTTAGCTGTTTTATTTATATAAAACTCTCAATCTTAGCTGTTTTTATTGAGGAGTTTAAGCAGGAAACAAGAAGGTTCTTTTGACTGGGTCATTAGTCTATGTGAACTTCACATCCACTACTTTGTTTCATTCATGATTGCTTAGCATTTTTTTTTCCTGGGTGTTAAGCAGGCAGGTTCGTCATAGTCAAATGATAGAACAGTTTTTTTGTAGTGTTGACAATTAACTGGAAAGATACAACAGGAGGCAAATTTGGTACCTGTTTCTCTATGCATGTTCTTTAGTTTTTACCACATATTAGCATTCCCTTCCAGGATGTGTTGCAGAAGGCAGTGAAGGCCTTCAAAAACACTTTATTGAAAATCAGAATAAATAGGAAAAAATAAAATAGTATGTTCTTTTCCTACCCATTAACTTGGCTGCTGCAGTCAGCACCATTCTAGCGGTATGGGTGTGGGTTCTGCTGTTCTGTTTTTTAGAGCTGAAATAGGAAACATACCAAAATTTTGAAATAAAATACATCAGATGTAGTAGCAGAAGACCACAACCAGATCAGGCCTAATTATGCAAATAGCTGTCATGATTTGCCTCTCGCAGATGTATTCAGGTTTAGTGTCTGAAGTGGAAGCAAAACTCTAGAAGGTGCTGTAAGCATGCTACTTGGCATTGAGGATGCCACAGAAAGTTGGTGTCTTCCTTTGAAGTTCAGCTGTCTGCAAGTACTGCTAATTGTATTCAGCTTAATTTCAAAGCTGCTCTTTTGTTTCACAGGTAGGCAGGAGATGTCTGCCCTTGAATTGCTTTGTATTTAAAAAGTAAATTGGAAATGCTATTGAATACCCACTGCCTCTCAAGTCAGCTGTTAGTTTAATGTTCTGTTCAGCAGCTGAACAGAATGATGGAGAAATAAGTGGGAAACAAGAGTCTAGACTCAACTGACCACATTCTCAGTACTTAAGCTTTTTTTTTTTATTACTATGTTTAGGTGTTTCTTTAAGGAAAAAGTTTTTTCTCTGCAAAATGGTAGTAAATCTGAATCTTCTTAGATCAGTGATTGAAGTATAACACTGAATGTATTACACAGTGAATGAACAAACAGCTGAAATAGCTTTATTTTTCTTAAAGCCTTGCCATGTCAAATAAAATGTTATAAACTACATTTCGGGTTTCACTTATGCCATGAAATTTGTTTCATCCATGACAGGAATTATTCATAAATGGGTTGGTGTCAGGCTTAAGTTTACATACTGACATTGCCCTTTATTGTGAAAAGACAACTTTCTGTCTTCTGAAACATCAACTCTTCCTGTTGAGCCAAATGTACATGTAAAACATTTTCTTTTCTTTTCCTTCTATGGGCTATCTGGACCAACAGCAAGAGGCAGATATTTCTCCTTCCCAGCTTCCCTTCAGTAAGGGTTGACTGGCACAGGAAAGATGAATGCTTTTTAAGAGAGTATTGTTTATTGCCTGTGCAGAAAGTAATTGCTGTATTACAGGTGGTTATTGCAGTAGGATTCTGTTAATAACTTAAGAATTAGCTCTTTGACATCTTTATGCGGTTCAGGTAACAGCATCTGTGCACTTGGGCCTGCATATCGATTGCAGGTGTGTTTGCATAACGGACAGTATTGGAATGAGTAGCAGGATGTGGAAAGAGGTGGCTGGATCAAAGCACCCACTGAACTGCTGTTCTTCTGCTGAGAGTTCGGAGTCAAACTTGTCCATAAGTGACTGCTGTAGGTTTAAGATGTTGCTTCATCCTTGATTGCTTGCTGTAAGTCTCTGGAGATCATCTCCCTCTTGGCACTGTTCAGCCCAGTGAGTTCAGTCAAACATCTTAACACAAATACTTTTCTTGTTAACTGAAACTAAAATACTGGCATGTGAACTGGAGTGGCTGAGGTACGTGCATGTGCTTCCTCTTTGGTAAGACTGCTGTGCCAGTGGCATCTGTCCAGCAAGTGTGTGAAGACAGCTGGTGGTAATGACTTCCCAAATGGCAGCAACTAGGTTTCTAGACCTCTTCTGTCCAAGCCTTAAGTGGGTGTTGATGAGCTGGGTTAGTTGTATTGAAATGAATTTGAAGCAGCTAAGTCTTTTGGGTTTTGGCCATTTTTTTTCTATTGAAGTGAGGGATGTAATTTGTAACACTTGAGATATGTTCTAAGGTGTATCTAGACTAAAAAAACCCCCACACTTTGTCATTCACTATTTTCATTTAATATTTTTTGAAATATAGTGGTTCTCGTTACCATCTGATATATGTTAAAATAACACGTCTTTTGTCTGTGTGACAATATGAAAATATAAATCGTAAGAACTGTTGACTCATCAGTATTTTGAGGTGGCATTCACAGTGAGTTGTAACTTTTCTACCCCTTTGAAATGGAATAAAGCCCTTATTGGTCTGAACTAACTCTAAGGTTATGTCACATCTGAGCTCTCACCAAACAGAACATACATAAAACGCAAAATACGCTGTCAAGTATTACAGGGCCAGGTTTAGGACAACTTAATAATCTTTTGTGTGGATGCAGAAGCATTTTGTTTTCTGAAGTGTCCTGTGCTTCGGGGCTGTCAGCAGGCAAAGTGCCTAGTTTGAAGTTTTTGAAAGTCATTTAAAATTTGAGGTTTAAGCGAAGGTGTTAAAAAGGGTCACATAAGGGACATTTTTAAGCTTCTGTGTGCATCAGGAAATTACATCTACCCATTTTCCTGATATTTAGAATTCAGATGATAAAGAGCACTAATTTTAGATTGATCTCTTATTCCATCACTTTTCAACAAGTGGGCAGTATTGAGAGCAAATAGGATGAATAGTGTGCATCTCTTTTTCCCAGTTGAAGTTTAAATAAGGTCTAATGACTGCCAGTAAAAAGGAACAGGAAGAGGAATACATGAAAACCAACCTTTTTAGCTGTTTAGTACTGTATTTTGCTTTTATTGCAGAGAATGGATCTGTTGGAATTAACATGGGTCACTTACTTGGTAAAGCGTGAATAGAAAAATAGAAGTGTGATATTTCAGTAAGATCTGGCAAAACCAGTAGCTCACTGGTTATCTATGTTCATGTTTTTCCTTTTAAAATGTCACAGTTTTTCATTTATCAATGCATGTCTCATTTCAGAAAATAAAAATGTTTAGCCAGTATGGGTTTACATTTGTGATATTTGTGCTTTACCATTAACTGAAAAAAACCTTCTTAAATTCCCCTTCCCCTCTTTTCGTAGGTGGTTTCAAACACCATCACAAGTTTTCTATCATGCAGCAACTGAACATGGAGGAAAAGATGTCTACCCAGGGCAGTGCTTATGGGAGGGATGTGAACCTTTCCAGAGGCAGAGGTTTTCCTTCATTACCCATTTACAGGTGCAGATTTTCTTTCATGTATTACTTTAGAAAATAGTAGGAATTTCATGGTAAATTTTCACATGCCTTTCTCACTGTCTTTATCTTTACCCCAAACAGGATAAGCACTGTTCCAGAGATGCTTTGCTTGCAGGATTAAAGCAAGATGAACACGGACAAGCAGGAAATCAGAAGCCTTCCAATAAGTAAGAGACCTGAGCCTCATTAGCAGTAGTGAAAATAAGAGGATTATAAATTATTGGAAGAATTTGTGTATTTATAACTTGGGTTATCAGTTGAAACTCTGCATATGTAGAGTCTATAACAGTAATAAAATTTGAGGTCCATTACAGTAAGACAAAATGGGCAAAAGAGGGAATAGATCCTGATGTGGGAGATGTGGTTGCAGTTATAAAAAGAACAGGTAATTCTTGAAGGCATACAGATCAATATTCTGACAAACATCGTTCTCAACGTATTCTGATTTTTCTCAAGTGGGCAGCATTTTATAACTTTTATTGTAACAGGAGGGTTGTTTGTAATCCAAACAGAAAATTGTTTGTTGTGTACAGTTCAACAGTTTCATACAGCTGAGATGGATTGTCTTGTAAGTTGCTGTATTCTTTCCACTTTTGTGGTCTAAATTTGGTCTGATTTGATCCAGGGACTCCTGTAATAAACTTCTCTTTAAACAAGCAAACAAGGTAAACCAGCTCCTCTGGGTCTTCTAATTTTGCGCTGCTACCTGGCATCAACTTTGGCTCTCGTCTTTCCCAAAATGATTTCAACCATCTGGAATTAATACTGGAGAGCACAGCCCCATCGTGGTGGGGTTGTGGGAATGGTTATGTTAATATTGGAGTTATTCCGGGCTCAGCTACTTGTAGAAATGTATTAAGACTAGGTCTTTGCTAGTAACTAACTGTAATCTTTGTTGCAAGCTAAAGACATAATTACATGGTCCCAGGCAGGTTGTTGCAGTCTGTTCTGTGGCTAGTTACATTGCTGTCTAGCTGCTGGAGGCAGCAGAGAAAGTTGAGTATGAAAGCCGAGAAATTTAGTTTGGGAGTCCTTTTATTTTTTAATATAAACAAACTTCTTAACACAGACTTACGATTGCTTTATGGTGCCTTGTTTCATTACACTGAACAACATTCAGACCTCTGAAAACCACAAAATGAAGAATGATGGTAATGTAGTCTTAAATACTTGGTAAATGGGAAGCGTAGGGCTGATGCCATCTACTAGCAAGTTGTGATCTCGACTCTGCCTTTTCAAAAATGTTCCATCACACAGATAACACATCCACTAGCTCTGTGTCCTCACAGGCTTCTTTTAAAATCGACACAGGTACTTGTATTAGAAAAAAAGTTCATACAGCCTCTCTTCTAAGGCAGAATTCCCTAATTAGGTCAGATGCAGAAAGTAGGAATCTATATGCTTAACTAGTTCTCACTGAAATATTGAGACTGCAGCATCACAAGATAGTGAGGATGTGATTTCAGAATACAAGTTGAAATAAGATGATTCCACTACTCAGAGTAGAATGTTTAGACTCTCTCTGCCATCCCTTCTTCCTTCTCAGGACTATGCACTGCTTACACTGAGAGAACTAGCTTTAGTTTTTGTTGGATTGCATGATAAATAAACTCAGTTTTTAAAAAAACCTAATCAATCAAAAAAGTGGTTTTGCCAGATGTGTGGAGTACACTTACCTCACAGTCAGTCGAACACCAGTACAGGAGGTGGGCTGGAACAAAAGGAAGGGATGAGACTTTTCTGTCAGCACTCATACTCATGACAGTTAATACACTCAGCTGTTCTCTGAAATCACAGAGGTTCCCAGTCTGTTACTCCTACTCTCTTCCTTCCATTACTCCTCTCTTACCAAAAAAGAAATCAACAAACAGGAGTATTTTGATTATATGTAATGTATAAACCACGTAATCTTACAGCGCTGCCACAGAGTTATGTTCACACAACTGAAAAGGGCATCTGGCTACAGGAGGGAGATGAGACTTGGTAATTTGCTTTCCAGAATCAGTGACTCATCAAATGAAACCCTAAGCTCGCTCCAGCAGGTCACCTCGAGTTGGCTTACACAGTCATGTGTGAAAGTTGACTTACAAGATTTTGGCTTAATTTACTTTTTGTTGAGTTCTAGAAACTTGTCAGACATGTCAGCACACCACTGATAGGCCATATGACTAAACTCTTGTATGGAACTGAAACAGCTTTAAAAACTGGTGCTGAGAGGAAGCACGTGTAAGTCATCAACTTTTAGGCATTAATTAGGCCAACTTTCTTCACTTAATCCCTCACCATTTAGTAAAACTACACCTAACAACAGGGCTACCCAGTTTGGAGGTGGAGTCACCTTCCCTGGTGGTGTTTAAAAGATGGGTAGACAAGGTGCTTAGGGACATGTTTTAGAGGTGGAATTGGTAGTGTTAGATTTATGGTTGGACTCGGTGATCTTAAAGCTTTTCTAACCACTATGATTCTATGATTCTACCTTGGAAAGTGCAGATAGAGTGAGCATTATTGGTGCTGGAAGTAAAATCTGGAACACAGTGTAACAAACAAGGGCCCATTTTCCTGATTATCATTTCTGTCTGTCATATCACCATACATACTTGAAAAAATCTGTAATGGCTTTTGCTAGAACCAGGTAGGCAAAGTTAAGCTGCATTACAGAGTTGGTTGTATACCTTAATTCTGTATTTCTTTGCTTTTAAAGTTGTGTTATATTAACTCTTCCTCTTCTGGTTTTCAGAGGTAGCTGAATATTGCATTCTGGAAGGTCAGGTAGCACTAGCAATTAACTGTATGTTGACTGTAGCTTTGTGTATTTGGATCTTTTTGGATTCACGTTAATTTTTTTCCTTGTTGCCACTGAAGCAAAGGTAGAAGCGTGAGCTGCCAAAAATATTCTTCATGCACTATGGGAATGGGCAGGAGATAACTTTAAATCACAAGATGAATGGTATGGTTTGAAGTTGATAGTATAATTAAAGAAATTAAAGAAATTGAGATGTTTCTTGATAGAGATACTTGCCCGCAGACCCAAGTCTGTCCACTTGATGTCTCCAGTAACTTTTTATCAACTTTGATTTTTCCAAAATCAAAAAGAGAAGACAGTCTTTTAATATCTTCCTGATTTATAGCAATTGTCCCTTTTTCAATATTTCTAGAATCAAGGCAATAGTACTTCAGCTTTCTAAAACATAGTACGATAGCTGTTGAAGAGCGACATTTGAAACAGCCTCCACTGATGAATCCTTGTTCTTCTCAACATAAGGAAAACATAAATGTCCCAGAAATTGCAAATGAAGATGATAATTCCTTTACTGTGGTGCTCAGTCTCTTATAAACACATGTCATTGCCCAGCAGTTTCTTACTTCAGCTCCTACCCTTCTCCCTTTACTTCATAAAGGTTTTCAAACTCTTTATTTCCATCCAGGGGAGGATGACTATGATTATGAGCTAAGTTTCTAGGGAGGAGTCTGTCTGTTACTACTTCTTAATTTTCTGGTTTTGTTTTAAAACCACTCATATGAACCCTTTTTTAAACTTTTAACTAGGTTTCCTTGTTGTTAGAATTTCAGATTATGAAGAAAGTCTCTCTGAATAGAGAATTCGCGTTTCATTCTTAGAATATTCACTTACAGTGAAAGATGCCTCAATAATACTCTTGCAGGCCAACTTTCATTTTAAAAAATTGAATATTTAAATTTGATTTATGCTACCTTTGCAAGTAAGTACTACTTGCACTTCTAATCAGGTTCTACTAGAGTATTAAAAGACTTTATAATAATATTGTCCAGTGCATTCAAGTGTGGTGATATTTTTCACTATTGATACTGCAAAACTTTCCCTTGAGATGTCAATGAGTCTTACTCATTAAGTGAAGTTGCATATTTATACATTCTAAACTCTAATTGTATGAGTAATTTCAAAGTTTTACATGAAATAGAGCTTTGACTTCAGTGTTAATACTGAAAATGGAGAATTTGCTTCTGCTATGTTTATTTGTACTAGCTTTATCAAATACCCTGCTTAATTTATTAATATCAGTCTGAAAGCTGCAGTAACAGGTAATTGGTTTTACAAATGTTTGATCTGATTTAACAATTAGATGTTTTGTGTCTTAGATCATAACTTAATAATGTTACTTTATATTACCCCTCACTAACCACAGTTAATATGTATTTTTTATTGTCTTAGTGTCTAATGATCCCAATGAGCTGTGTCAGGTTTTGAATAACTATATTTTAAGGACATTCTCTGGCCAAATTTCAGATGACATTTCCATAGCTGCTATCACAGTTCCTGTTAAAGCATGTCTGATAAAGTATTCCTTTAAATAGGTACACTTAAGGAAGTGGATATGTCATTAGTACAATATATTACTTCTTCCTCGTGAATGTTGTGGCTGATGAGCAGTACTTCTTCAAGAGAAGTGGTTTTTCACATAAAATAAAGCCCATGACTCTTCTGAAGGCTTTGCAATGAAGTTTATCTCTGTGGAAACAAAAGGCAAATCACTTATCAGCACCAAATTTTAATGAATCTTTGTGTCTCTGTTCAGATAGGTTAAAAAATTGTCAAAATTAATTTTCAGAGTTGTTAATCTTCTAGAAAATGGTGCAAAGCTTATTTTTATTAATTCTTTCTTTACTAATGTAGGCAGCCAGCTGTGGGGGGTACTGCCTCTACTCCCAGAGCACAGAAGGCCATTGTGAATCATCCGAGTGCTGCCCTAATGGCATTAAGGAGGGGATCAAGAAACCTTGTCTTCAGAGATTTCACAGTTAGTATTGTTTGATTCAAGTATTAGATATTAATTGTTACCTCCTACTATGGGGCTTTTACTTTTATTTTTTTCTCTCTTTACTTTTGTAGGATGAAAAAGAGGGACCAATAACTAAACACATCCGATTAACAGCTGCCTTAATATTAAAAAATATTGGTAAATATTCAGAATGTGGTCGCAGGTAAGCATCAGATGATTCTTCTCATACCAGTGGGCAATGTTGTTTCTGTTCTCTTAAGTACCAAACAGTAGGTAGGTTTTACTTATGCTTAAAAAAACCCAGTAAGTATATTGACAGTACAGTTTCTGTGAGTTCTGCACTGTTTAGTTCTCCACACAAGTGCTCAGCATCATCCTACCCAAGACAGTATTTGTGATCCAGATTTTTGAAATGTGTCTGGTAAATTTGACAGTTTACATTTTTGGAGACAGATGAGAGAAGCCTTTGCTGCGGGTCTGTCGCTTTTCCTCCTGAAGGCAGTACTGTGTAACTCTGAAAATTAATTCTTCTGTAAGCAACTTCCCACTGGCAGTACTCTTTTCTCTCAACTTGTGAAAGGGGCCAGTGAGCTCTTGTGAACATTTTCTTAAGCTGTGGAGTGACACACATTTGCATTTCATACTTGCTGCCTCTCTGTTGCTTTCCCCTCCAAACTTGAGTTAACTCCAATAAATGACTCAGCTTTCTTCTCACTTGTAGAAGATCCTTCAGTAGGTAAACAGACCAATACTGACTTGTGGTACTAAGTAGGAAATGTTCTTTACGATGCAGAAGGAGTAGTAGCTACTTGCTGTGCCAGTAATCACCATGCATGCCCCTTGTGTTTTTTCCAAGAAATTACAGGCTGAGTGTTCTCTTGGTTTTGTTTTCACTGTTTCAGCTTCATAATGGCAGAAGTAATTATTTCTAATAAGAATCTGTTAATTTTGTATGTTCTTCAGAAACCTGTCAATAGGGAGGGATTTCCTAGTTGTAGTTCTAAACAGTTTTGATAGTGGTTGTAGAAACCC